TTATCTCTAACAATATTTTATGAGTCTTATTTTCAATGCTGGGACCGAACCCATGGCCATCTATTGCTAAGCTAAATATTAATCCTGCTAATATCTTAAAATAGGTCATCACTTTTCTGTGCCAATCTGCAACTACAAAATCCAATGAATTCGAGGAGGCAGTTAAAGAGTTCTATTCCATTTCTCTAAGTTCTTTTAGATTTTATAATCAATCTGGGCAGTGGTGGCGCATACCTTTAAGCCTGTCACTTGGGAGACAGTGGCAACCAGAACTCTGAGTTCAAGGTCAATCTGGTCTACAAAACAAGTTCCAAGACAGTCAGGGCTACACAGAGAAACCCCGTCTTGAAAAATCAAAGTAGTAGTAGTAGAGTAATAAAAAACAATAGTGTTAATAATGATAGTCATGGATTTATAACCATGTGAAAGCTGGTAAAACCTGACAGCCTTTTAATTAGCAAAGGGACCAGTGCTGTCACCGATCTGTTCACTAATTTTATTTTGAACACATGCTAGGGAGGTACTCTCCCAGTGAGCTATACTACAGCTCTACAGAATACATTTGGTATGAGGACTTGACTAAAAAAAATCTATATTCATAATTAAGAGAACAAATATCAAAAATATCATGGCATTTCTTTTATCAACTTATGATTAATTTTTTTCATTAAAAATCATGTCTGGTACTTATACCATCTTTTACTTTTATTATCTATATTTTTCCTCTTTTAAAAATCGCTTAAGCAGCACTTGGGAGGCAGAGACAGGCGGATTTCTGAGTTCGAGGCTAGCATGGTCTACAGAGTGAGCTCCAGGATATCCAGGGCTACACAGAAAAACCCTGTCTCGAAAAACAAAAACAAAAACAAAAACAAAAGCAAAAAAAAATCGCTTAAGTTAGGGCATGGTGGCACATCCAAAATCCCAGCACTTGCCTGGCGAAGGTGAGAGAACCATGAGTTCAAAGCCAACCTGGGATATATACCTAAGCCTCTGAGATCAGCCTGAGGTGTTCTGTGAGGGGGTTAGAAATGTAGCTCACTGGCAAACTACTTTTCTAACACTGGGGTCCTGGAGTGCAGTTGCCTTAGCTGAGCAAGCTGAGCAAGCTGAGCAAGCAGAGTTTATGGGAAGAGAATATAAGTGAGCTCTCAGCAATGACTATAAAATGGTCAAGGGAAAAACAAATTAGAGTCTGGTGGAATTTTAGACTCCTAATCTAATCCCTGAGTTCCTTTCAACTGCAAACAAAAATGCTCTGTCTGAGGTTAATGGAGCTCAATGAAAGGAGAGGCAAAATTAGATATTAGCTTTCCTGACTCAAAAATCCTTGGATATTTTTTAAAATAACACAATGCATTCTTACTAGTTATTAATTAAAACCTGGCCAGAACAAACCCATTGAGTTCTAAATTTTAAAAAGCCAGTCAGCATAAAACAAAGAAACATCTGCAACTCTGCAAATTTGAGCAAGCCTGATTATATACCAAAAAGCTTAAGGCCACAAAACTACTAATAAAATAATAAAGTTACAAGCTTGAAAAAATTAAAAATACTAATTCAATAGTGGTAATGACCAGAATAATAGAACACTGAATATTCATAAATAAAATGACTTATTTTTAATTATCTTTACCTTAAGATTTGTTAAACTTTATTTTTTGAGACAAGGTCTTTCTAACTGCCCTGGAACTTACTATGTAGACCAGGTTGACCTCACAAGAGATCCTTCTGCCTCAGCCTCTTGAGTGCTAAGATTAAAAGATGTGTGTCATTAAATCTGGCAAATTTTAAACTTTTGAATTATTAGAAAGTAGAAAACATTTTTAATCATGGGAAGTGGTGCTAATAAAACTAGAGTCAATTATAAATAATTCTACCATCCCCCCAAAAAAAATCCATGAAAAGGGCAAGATATTTGGGTAAAAAGATAAAGATAAAATATCATTCAACATATTTAAATAGATTGAACTTACTGGATTTTGTATTTGCTCTACCTTTGACCAAAATATTAGAGGAAGCTTTAAAAAAAATCTTTAAAGCCAGATTTTCTAATTAGAGAACACAGGAATAAACATACTAATATGTGCTAACAATTACCAGTTAACTAAACACCTATATCTACTAAAATGATGGTCTGAACAGACTTTTAATATTGTTTTTTCTCTTCCCAGATTTGGATCTTGAAAGATAAGCATTATTCTGTATCAGTATAATTACTGAAGATACATAGGATTAGAATTAGATTACAGAAAGCAATTACAGTCTGGTGAATGAGGAAGGATGTCTACTCTTCCTATGCCTCTCCCAATACTCATGTGACTGGAACAACACAAAATGAAATGGAAGAAAAACTAGGAAGAAATCCCAATGCATTCCCATATACAGTAATCAAGTTTATGTAAATGTATATACATTATACATAGTTGAATTAAATAAACCTTTTGTATTTGTGTGTTACAAGTGTGTTGGTGTTAGGAGGCCAGAAGAGAATGTTAGATCCCCAGGGCTAGAGCTACACAGTGCTCTAGGCACTGTGAGAACAGGTTGCAAGAAACTGAACTTGGGTCCTTTGGAAGAGCAGCAAGTACACTGAACCATTTCTAAGACCCCAAGCTTTTCTCATCTTAGCTGATCACAAAAAGGAATAAAAGCAGCTTAAAAGAACCATGAGTTTACTTCTAAACCTAGGTTCTATAAACCTCCTATCTCTTGTGTTTGTGTGAAACTGAAAAGGATTCTTACTTTACACAGATTTGTAACAAATTCACAAATATATATATACATACAATTTTCATGGTCTAAGTTGAGTTAGTTGTTTGCTAAACATTTACTGGAAAGCTTACTCTGGTGCTAAGCCCTGTGCTAATTGTTATTCGTCAACTGCTCTCTGAAACAAATTACTCTTTTGAGCTTAATCCTGCCTAGGATCTTTTGCCTAATTATTGAATAAAACCATATTGGTAAAATCAAAGTTCTTTTCAAAACCCTTTTGGTAATATATTAACATTTTAGAGGGCACTATCATTTTCTTGGTTGTCAATTGAACAAAGAAAACACCAAGTGTTAACATATGCCAATCACAACAGAAATTAAAGTAACCTATATGGTAAGAAAACTGTCCAGACTTGTTCAAGACAAGTTAAACAGGTTAAGATTTGGAATCAACTGTTCTGCTGTAGTTCTTCAATGGTCTCTTCAAAAAAAAAGATTCTTAAAACCTGGCATACTTAAAACTTGGCCCATGGTCCAAATTGAACAGTGTTACTTAAACCAAACAATACTGTACAGACTGCACAGAACAAATGCACGATGGTACATGGTGAAGGTGACTGTAAGGCCAACATCATTCATATACACATCACCAGTGGCTGAAGCAAGAGGAGATGCAATGACACACATAAACTCTGCAAGCACAAAGGTGAGACTTTCATGGCAATGTTCACTTCACTCTCTACACTGGGCCCACTTTAAAAGACGACCAATTAACACTTGGCAACCGGTAGTAATGCAGATGGTGGCAGATGACAACCTCTTTGAGCTCAAACTGGTACTCCTATCAAAACTTCTATTTTTGTTTGTGGATGTTTGTTTTGGTTTGCTCATGCTGTTCTAGGAGCTTCTCAGACAGAAGCTTCATGAGTTATTGATTTGTTTATAGACAAGTTATATCTCATAACTTGTCTATGGGCCTCTCCAAGTGGTAACTCCAGTTCCAAGGAGAAAGATAGGAGGACAGAGGAAAGAGAAAATATTTGGGGCCAAATGCTCAAATGTGTCTTACGAAGAATGGGTAATCTCTACCGATACATACTTCGAAGAAGCAACATGACACAAACAAATCATGACTACCAGGAAACTGGCTCTTCTGTCACATGGGCACTCTTAGTTTTAAAGGGCGAGAGAAGCAGACATATAAATTAAACATGTGTCAAGAAATGTACTGCAGTAGACCTCCAATAAAGCTCTTTAGTCCTCAAGAATCTTAATCCTGCACATTTCACAACACTTCACAGTTTCAAAGAGCTTCCAGACTGTTGATTTTATTTGATATCAATTTGACAACTTTGTGAGGTAGGTAGAGGAGATATTCATTTTCAATCTTCATCTTTAAACAAGAGGAGCTAGGCTCAAGGAGGCTGACTTGTTCTAAGTTAAAAACTAGCATATGGCAATGCCAGACCTCTCCAGAGTCTAGGGTATTTTTTTTTTTTTTTCTGAGTGTGATTCTTGGATAACCTGCTAAGACTCTCCTGTGGTATTTTTAGAAATACAGATTTGTGAAATCCTACTGCCTTTGATTTATTGAGTAAGACTCTCTAGAGATGAGAGCTGAGAATTCTGCATTTTACAGTGGATTATAACAGAGTAAGAAACAACTGCATATCAGGAAATAATGTAAGTGTATCACTGAGTTTGGCTCCATCTTCCCATGGTCGAATGTGATGCCATCAGCCCATCCTTAGGAGAAAGCAAGCTTAAAAGAATGGCTTCAAACCTGGCTACACTAACAATCACCTGGAAAGCTGTTTGTTTTTAAAGCATCAACTCAAACCTGACAGAAAGATGTTGGCTATAGTTTCCAGAGTGATTCATACCTGCAATCAGGGGCAAACATCACTTATGCTTTCTGAATAACATATTAGCATTTTCAAGAATTTTTTTTTCTGATCAATTTCATACACATAAAGTTCACAGTTCATATCCTAAATCATTTAAGCTTTGCAAGACAAAATGTCAAGAGGTTTTTACTTTATATTTTTAAGATTAAATGGTATTCACAGAAAGAGTAACCATGCTCCACTTAGTTAAAACGATTTTTAAGAACCCAAATCAATCACCATTTTGGACTTAGAATATATATCTATATATTTCAGCTGTAAACCACAGTAATTCAGAAAACAGGGATGTGGGGCAAAAGCTGTAGCCAACTGGCTACAGAGGAATTCGGTGCAGACAATCAGCTCACTATAGGAGGGTCTGGGTACCAAGGTCTGATGGCTTTGGCAAGATCACATCTCACTGTAGAAAAATACAACAATGAATACACAGAAAATATTTTGCCATTTGTAATTTGTTTACCACTAAAACCCCTTATAATGTGTGATGCTTATCTTACTGCATGCCTCCACAGAACATATATGAACATGAAATTGTCTACTATTTCCTGGGGAAAATGGCCACAAATTAAAATGTTTCTATCATGCATATGAATATTATAAAAGCATAGCCCATAAAAGTAATATTTACAAAACAAAAACCAACCCAATTACAGGGGAAATGCTCATCTCTGCCCTTACTCCAGTGCTCATCCACAGCCTGCATATCTTGGGGTAAGATTGACACACTTTGAGAGAACCTCCCACAGGCCAACCAGATCTTCTGGGGCGCTGTTATCCTATTAGCTAAAATACCCTTGCTGGCTTATCAAAGTCTTCTACAGTTTAAAAACAGTTCCTTTTTTCACTCTGTGGAAATAAACCTACAAAGTCCTAGTATTCATCTGAGAAATAAACCTTGCATAGAAATTTTCTTTAATTCTGAAACTTTGTTTTATTAACAGAGCTACCAGAATGTCATTTCACAACTAGTTCATATTATATGAAAATTCACTACAAAGCCACCACACATAGAGGATTTTTCTAGATATAAAATAAGCGGGTTTATAAAAATGCTTACCAGACAGTCATCTCGTCACAGCCTAGAAAGAATTACTTTTGTGATGACATGATTCTTAGTGTTTTGGATGTGTTCACATCCCAAGGTTGATGTGATACAAAGGGCAAAGATCTACTTTCCCAGTGGCACACTCTGCCTGAGAAAGCAGAGTTGACAGCGAGTTACAGCAGCCAGCCATGCAAAGGCAAAAACTAAAACCTTCTTTCCACAGCACACATTTCACCTTACACAAGACTAAGCACTGGTTCCATCCTCTTCAATAACACGGTTCATGCTGGTGCCATGTGTAATGTGAGTCATGGGGTTGTTACTGAGGTCTCGGATGCTGCTGTGTCGGGACTGCTCGTTGAGCCGATGAGAACTACTGTGCCTGGAGTGATCTGTCAGCCGTGACATGCTGCCGTGAGGTAGTCTCTCCTCCATTCCTCGGTAACTGCAGGGAGTGTACCTGCACAAGAGAGGTGGTTTTGAAGTGGATAACAGAACACACCAGAAAACAGGACTAATAATTTTCATTAAAATGCCTTAGTAACTAACTGAAGCGCTCAGCAAATCAACAGTGAGAAGGCAATAGCTGACACGATTATTTAGAGTAATTCCATTGCGCTGCAGAATTATCCAATGAGGCTAACAAAAAGAGATAATCCACTTAGGTCCAGGATGAAGGTCCTATTCCCTGCAAAAGGGCAAAAGGCTTGGAGCTATGTTAAGTATGGATACTTTCATTACTCAAGTACATTTCAAAAACACTGGGCTCAGAGAGATGAGGAAAGGGAGTGAGGCACTGCCTTCAGACTCTACAAGGCGAGGTAAAGTCAGCAGCAGTGCAAATGTCAGTTTTACTAAAAGACTTGGGTTGGAAGAAGGAACACATGAAACCAGAGGGGAAATTAAAGGTAAGCTAAATATCAGTGATTGAACTGCCACTCATTGATGACATCTGTTCCCATATCATCTAGTTGGGCTAGTTAATAGTTCAATCAGTCATCTGTAAATGATCTTAATTATTTCCCTCAGGCTTAAAACTGTGACCATACTAATTTATAGAAGTTACATCTACTTGGAAGTTGCATCCTGATACTCTGTAATCAATTCTCCCATCAGCTGGTTATGTGTACTTCTAGCTGGGCTCTGCACACATCAGCTGGGCTACACAGCTTATTACAGGTAGCCTTCCTATCCAGAAACACAACATGGCTGTTCAAATTTTCTTTTGTTGAAATCCTGATTCACTGAGCCACATCAGAGGCAAGAATTGAAAAAACCTGATAGGCTAGAGAGGTGGCTCAGAGGTTAAGAACATTTCCACTGGCTGTTCTTCCAGAGGTCCTAAGTTCAATTCCCAGCAACCACATGATGGCTCATAACCATCTATAATGAGATCTGGTGCACTCTCTTCTGGCCTGCAGGCATACATGCAGGAAGTATTCATCATCATCATCGGCATCATCATCATCAAACCTCTGACACTGGAATAAAGAATTATTAGTTCTAGGCCAGTCACACTTATGAAAACCAATTACTTTTTTTTATTGGTCTGCTTACAAAGCTCACGTGGTATTTATCAATCTTTCTGGCTTAATAGTGAGTTCTTCCAGGATAAGTACCATACTTTATCTTTTTTTTTTAAGATTTATTTTATGTATAGGAGTACACTGTAGCTGTCTTCAGACACACCAGAAGAAGGCAACAGATCCCATTACAGATGGTTGTGAGCCACCATGTGGTTGCTGGGAACTGAACTCAGGACCTCTGGAAGAGCAGCCAGTGCTCTTAACCACTAAGCCATCTCTTCAGTCCCATATTTATCTTTTAATCTTTAGAACCTTGAGAATTTTTTCTAAAATATTTTTGTTCATACACATACTCTTTTGGAAAACATAATTTAGAATAATAAAAGTAAAAGAGAACTGAGTAGCCTTGATGACTTTAATGAACATGCTGCTTCTGTTTCTAGCACGGGGGTAAGACGCCCTGGGCTGCGAGCCCTGCATAGACATAATGTTTTAGGCAATGTTTCTAAAAGTAATCAGGGCCAGGAAAGCTTGTCAGGCCAGCCTAGCAACGTACGAGACCCTGTCTCAACACTGAGGACAAGGAATGCATACAGTGTGCTTATACAATGCTGGCCTATGGCTACGTGTGTTCATGGGTTTCATCCAGAGCACTGCAGAAGAAAGAAAAAAAAAACTCAGAACATAGCAAACTATTTTGGCTTTTGTCTGTATGTTTTGCTTATAGAATTGGGAATTAAAATAAGACCTTAGGCATATTGGGCAAGGGAGCCTCCATGGAGTAACGAGCCCCAGCCTCGCTCCCTTTTTCATTCCTTCTTTCCAAGGCAAGATCTCTAAATATTCCTAGCTGTTCTGGAGCTCACCATGTAGACCAGGCTGGCTGTGAATTTGCAGACATCCTCCTACCTAAGCTTCCTGAGAGCTGGATTTAAAGGTGTGTGCCACCATGCCCAACTCATTCCGTTTTTAATAGTCATCAAAATAAATCATTATATGCCATGATTAAGGTGAATCATTTGTAAAATTAAAAGCTCTAAAAGAAAGATTCATGAACACTGCTGAGGTGGCCATCTAGCTACCGAAGTGCTTGTCAGTGGACATTTTCATTTCATTACAGAGTTTAAAACTGAGAAGTCCTTTGAAAACAGTCTTAAAAGTCTATCCTAGGGACCAGGCATGATGGCACATGCTCTGTGTTTCAGCATACAGGAGGAGGCAAAGGCAGGCAGATCTCTACAAGTTCAAAGCCTACCAAGGCTAACAGAGGGAGACCCTGTCTCAAAACATGACCCCCCCCAAACCCATCTACCTCTAATACCTCCAATAATTGGCTATAGCCAATTTTATTTAACCAATAATTTTACATCAAAGAACAAGGCTTGCACAACAAAAGCTTATAAACATAAAAAGTCACTCGTAGGCCTAGACCTTTAGGTATAAAATTTAGCATTACAATACATAGCAATAGACCAAACCTTAACACTATAGAATGGGCATTCCAGAATCAGTCAAAAAGTGATGCATTCCATTTTGATTCTCTTCACTATCTGCTATCATTCATCTAAATAACTAAATCAAACACCGTTCAGTGTGTTGTTATTCACTCCAATGCTTTCCCTTGCAGGTCACTTACATATCAACCTAGTCACATTCCCACTTAGTTTTCTACTCATCCTCTCATCTACCTACCAATTACTTGTTCTTTGAAGTGGTGTTTACATGTAGGTGTATGTAGTACACAGATCAATAATTATCCAAGTAGTGAATCAAAGTGAGTACTGGGAATCTGTGACCTATGGCCAGGATAGCTTGAGATACTACAATGGCCAAAAGACAGCACCAACATGCAGTTAAAGCCTGACTGGAGCATAAGTCCTCATTAGATGTCCTTTTGGATTGTGAAAATCATTGTGCAGACGTCCAGTTTCAATGTTATCTTGAAACCTCTTACACCTGCCTACAGTTCTGTGCATGGAACAGAGTCCCATGGATGCGTATTCACTCACCTGGGTACAGGATGCCGTCAACAGACTACATCCACATCATTCTGATTCATATGTACGTACTAGACTTTTTCTATAAGGTTCTGTGCTCCTAGAACACAGAAATTCAAACCTTGCTCTTCTATGTATTTATGTACAGAATGCCATACATAGAAGTATTACTGTGATAATGTCTGCTCATCACTGAAAAGGATAGATGAGGACTTCAATATCATTGCTAAGAGTTTTTGGATGAAGTACATTTCAAGGGATATCAGATCCCTTACCTCCTTATCAGTATCTTAAAAATTAAGACCACAAATTGATGGATGGTTTCATTATACTTTCCTTTGTCATCCTATTTGAGGGATGGTTCTAAAATTCAAGTCAGACTGTATTATTCTAGTACTCCAAGTCCTGTAATATCCTTTCACTGTCAGAGAAAACCACCATGGTTTTGTCTCCTAAAAGTCCCAGCACACACCATGCTCTGGGTAACCCAGACACTAAAACTTGCCTGCCTGTTCTTGCTCTGCCCTTCATTCCTGAGTATCTTCTCTGACCTCTATTTGAAGTACAAGTGCCATCAGTTGTAAAGCTGTTTCTGACTGTCTGTGATGAGGTAGATGGTGCTCTTCCCTGAGATCCTAAAGCATCTTGTACACATCTGTGCCCATACACACATACACAATTCAGGTTCTCCGTAAGATGGAGAAAGAGGTGTTTTTCAGTATCTAGCTTATTTCATTTAAAATGATGATCTCCAGTTCCACTCAATTTCCTTCAAAGAATTATTTTATTGTTCTTTATGGCTAAATAAAACCTCACTGTGCATGTGCACAACATTTTGTTTATTCATTCATCTGTTGATGAAAATCTAAGCTGATTCTACACACTGACTATTCTGAGCAGTGGTGCAGTAAGCATGGGTAAAGGGTTGTCTGCGCCATGCTGACTTAGATTCCTTTGGCTAGCTTCTCAGGAGTCTTATAGGTGAGTCATAAAGCAGTTCTATTTTTAGTATTCTGAGGGACCTCCATAATGATGTCCACAGGGGCTGGAATAATGTAATACTCCCCAGCAATGTTCCTCTAATCTCCTCTCCATCCTTCCAATATTTATGTTAGTTTTCTTAAAAATATGCCTTTCAAGTCAGCTGTTCAGCTCTTCCCACTGCTTCTCTACTCTCTGATAAACTCTTATTCTCTCTCAAATGACTTAATGAGCTACCTCCTAAAAGTTCCTAGCTCTAGTATCCCAAGTCAAATTTAATGAGAAACCCACAGACAGGCTTCTATCAAGCATTCTCTGTGAATCATCTTCTGAGATGTTCTCCATGATACCAGAAAGAATCACTCCTAGTCTGCTTCTACTATTCCTAATAAACATGGGTTGGGTCCTGGGATGCTAGAATGTAGTATGCTCAAAGTCCTGGGTTTAAACCCAAGTATCCTCACCAAATAGCAGGGGCTGACGGTTTAATGGACACATTTGCTACCTCCTGGTTTTATAAATAGGTTACTGAGATGCTTCTTGTCTGACTGCATACTGACTGCCACAGCAAGACTGAGCAGTGGTTGTCACTTTAACTAGAAAGCCTAAAGTATTTACTATATGGCTCCTAAACATGTTTGCAGCCCTGAGATATATTTTACTTCATGTACTTATTAACATTAATAACTGAACTATGGTCTAACACTGAAACAGGCTGTTTTTAGTGACTATGCACTTTATCTCGTTGAGCGTTTGTGACATTACTAAATGGGTGGCTACTACTAATATTTCTCTTTTATAGCTAAGGAAACTAAGCTTTGCATTCTAGATTTTTTTTTCAAGATTTACTTTTGCTCTTTTTAATTACGTGTAAGTGTGTGTCTGCATCAGGGTACATGCACATGCATGCAGGTTGCTATAAAGGCCAGAGGTGTTGGATCCTCTGGAGCCGGAGTTGCAGATGGTTTTGAGTCACCAGATGTGGGTGCTGGGAACTGAACTCAGGTCCTACGGAAGAACAGCAAGTAATTTCAATCGCTAAACCATCTCCATAGCTCCCCAGATCCACACTCTTAACCATAACATTGAATACACCATCTTTCTAGATTGGGAACCTATGAAGTGGAAAGCTCATAATCTCTCTATTCTCAGAGGCTCACACAGTACTAGTATAGGAAATGTTGGCTAAATTAATTAATTTTCTTCTTCCTCCCCCCTCTTTGTTTTTTTGTTCGTCTGTTTTGTTTTTTTGTTTCTCTGTGTAGCCCTGGTTGTCCTGGAACTCTGTAGACCAGGCTGGCCTCGAACTCAAGAGAGATCCACCTACCTCTGCCTCCCAATAACTGGGATTAAAGGTGTATACCATGACTGCCCAATTAAATGCATCTTTCTAAACTGAGCAGTCTGCCTTCTCTTATCTCCACTCAGTGTCCTACAGTAACATCAGACTGCTTTTGCATCAGGTTTAAACCCCAAAGTCCTTTGGCTTTAAATCCCATAATCTGGAACTATACCCAAATTTAAAAAGTTTAATAATGCTCCACTTCTACTTCAGAATTGGCTTCTGTCTCTTAATCTGTGTGTTCCTAACTGAATACATGAATAGGTTGCTCCCAGAACTTACCTGCCATCACGTGACCGGTGGAGGCTGCCATGGTAGCTGCTCACTTTGCTGTGGACACTCCCTGCTTTGCTTCTTTGATCATCCACCATGGCCAGCTGAGTTGAAGAAGCATGTGTGGATGTCCCTTGAGTGGAAGTTCCTCTTGATTTTCTTATAATTGGAGTATTTGGATCCCTCAGGAGGGACTGCGCAAAGTCAGGTTCCTGGAGCACCTGCCGGCTCTCGTTCACTATCCTAGACAATACAACAAGAAGTTTAGGATACAAACTAACATTCCTATAGACAACAAACACTACTGCTGCTGATACTAGTTGATACTGCTCTTGAAGTTAACTGCTCCCCAAATTAAGTCATTGGGACCAATTTGAGGTAACATTTTTGGCAGAGGATAAAATATAACAAAAATCTTTGTCAAAAACTAGGTTTGAGGCCAGTAATCCTAGCATCTGGGATGTTGAGACAGAAGGATCAGTTCATGGTCATCTTCACATCCATCTAAATAAAACTCAAAATAGTAGTTGCAATTCTGTGAGCACACAGTCTCAGCAAATCGCTATCCTTGGCTTTCCTTTGTTTTATCTATGAAAAAAAAAAAAGCTGGTAAGTTCATTGTTTCTAAAAGGTCCTTTCAGATAAAGACACTTGTGATCTTTCAGGTCCCCAAAATATTTTTTAAAATAATTATAAGATAGAAAAAAGTCTTTTTTTTTTGTGCTTTGTGGAAGTAATAAGGGCTCATGATAACTGAGTAAACTTTTAACTTGCAAAAGCATTTTTAAGACTCCATCTTGATTCTGTGGCAGAAACAGCTGCCTAGTACTAGAACAGTCAGTCACGAGTGGTCAACCTTAGAACAAAGTAATATGAAAAATTAAATTAAGCAAATATTCAATGAAGTCCTAGACAATTTAAAGGGACAAATTACAGAGGAAAAAGTTTTTAAAAGTGGCCAAGCAATGGTGGTTCATGCCTTTAATCCAGTGCTCAGGAGGCAGAGGCAGGCTGATCTCTGAGATGGAGGGCAGCCTGGTCTACAGAGTGAGTTCCAGGACAGCCAAGGCTACACAAGAGAAACCCTGTCTCAAAAAACAAAAAAAAGATTTTTAAATGCTATGAAAGAAACATTACAGAATAGATAGACGTGCATGACGTTGAACAAAGCAATAATTGAATTAACAAAAAATCAAATTAAATCACTGTAAAGTGTCTGTGAGAATCAGCCAAAGGTAAAATTAAATGACTTAATTAAAACAACACCAACATTTATAGACTGGATCATATACTGAAAAAGTATTTGAGAAAGTTTGTGTAAGTTCTCAAATCAGCAGCATTGCTACAGTTCTTGCTGTTTTCAGTACTGGGTTGAAAGACTGGAAACTGATACCTGATGAGTGTAGATTCTTCTTTAGTCCATGTAATGTTAATCTTGATATTTAAAGTTATAATAGAACACCAAACAGATGAGGAGTAACTTATTACAGAGAGAAAACATGTCAACTCCAAAAGCAGCAAAAATATTTAATGAAACACCAATAACCACTAGAAATATCTTTTATTTATTTATTTGATTTTTTTTGAAACAGGGTTTCTTTGTAGCCCTGCCTGGCTCCTGGAATTCACTCTGTAGACCAAGCTGACGTCAAACTTGGAGATCCGCCTGACTCTGCCTCTCAGGTGCTGGGATTAAAGGTGTGTGCCACCACTGCCCAAATTAATTAATTACAAATACTTTCATTAAAAATCAGGAATATGATACTATATACGATGATCACCCTTAACTAATCTTTCAATAGCTTCAGACTACAATTAGATAAAAGAAGGAAAGCTAGTTTCAGGACAGCCAAGGCTATACAAAGAAACCTTGTCTCAAAACAAAACAAAAGGAAAAAAACCAACTAGCCAACCAACCAACCAACCAACCAAAAAATAACCAAGGTTATCAAATTTGAACGTGCACTGAATCAGAATGGTGTGTTACTCTATCTCTTCACATGTCTGACAGACCTGGAAGAGCAATGGGAACCTCTGACAGAAGCTGAAGTTCCTCTTACACTGAACAGCGTGGCATGGCATGCTGCTCTTGGTTTTCTCATCCGAAAAAAGGTGAGAATACACACCAGCCTTCAGTCAGGAAGGCCAGATAAATATGAAGAGAAAAAGCATCCACTTGTTTCTAGTTTCAAGAAAATTATATTTTGAATGCTCCACAATTCCAATCTAAAGGATTTGAATACTGACGCACTTGTGTGCCTCTACTCAATCATCTTCTCAGGATGAGATTTCCAGTTGTTTTTATTTTTTTAAAGATGGAATCTTCCTATGTTGCCCAGTCTAGCCTCAGTCTAGTCAATAGTAAGGGTTACAGGCATGAACCACTGTGTCCAGTGAACTGTTCTAAATTATGCTACTGCGCCAATGCTACTAGTCACTGCTGATAAAGTTACAATTTTTTGAGAATACTTCTCAAGTTCAATGCGCTCATGCATGTACACACACACACACACACACACACACACACACACACAGGAGGGAGGGGGGCTGTTAATACTAGAGAACTCATTAACTTACTCTTTTTTTCTTCGCCCATGGAAAAAACTGGCCCATTCAAAGCATGTCTTTTTGCTTCCAACCCAAAAAATAGAGGGAATCCCAACTATGAGAGCCATGAGATACTTCATCAGAAAGAGAATCAGGTCTGGACGACTCATCTGAGTAACCTGCAGGGAGGTAAAGAAAACCATCCTAACTATTTGCATCTATTAAAGGCAATTATAGAAATTATAAACACAAAAGACAACAGCGAAATTATGTTACAAATATGGTATCTTCATTTACGAAGTTCTAAAAATAATTTTCTTGGATCTTCAAAAGAATCTCTCTAACCCTAAACCTTACATTCTTAACTAATTTTTTGTCTCCCTTTCAGTTTTTCAGAGATACACTAGACACGCAATTGTGAACCTGCCTATTCTTATCCTGTCAACTGTCAATTTTGCATTCAGCTGGGGAGAGAAGATGCACTACCATTTGTCTTACTTTGCGAATGCTCTTTCACCTAATATTTTGTCTAACGCTGTCCATTATTAGCTATTTTCTTACTCACATCAACATGTTTTCAAGGATTCCTCAACCCCTCTTCATAGACTCCCTCCAACCCAAGTCCTATGTTTGGGCTTGCTTGGGCTTGCTGTACCTTTTAAAAGCAATGTGTAGTCATATTACTAAAATGTAAAGATAGAAGTTCCCTTGTCCTCCAAACGTTTTATACCCAGGGCCTTAAGCAGTGTTCAACACATGCATGATACTCAATAAATCATATGTATTTTTGATAGCGTTTCACTGCATACCCCTTTAAGTATGCAGAACTCTATACTTAGACCAGGCCTCAAATCTACAGAGATTCACCTGCCTCCTGAGTGCTGGGATTAAGGGAGCGAACCACCATGCCTGGCTACTTATGCTTGGTTTTATTATGAAGAAATTAATCAAAATTATTCAGTGCCACCATCCCCTCCACAAAATAGTGCTCCCTTCTGTAGCTATCTTTTTCGTATTTTTCAAAGTATTCAGAGTAACTTTCACAAAAATATTTTATCATCACTAACTGTGCCCAAAACTATGGATGCCTCCTTTCCTGCTGACATGATGCTCTTTGGATCCCTTCTTGGGTACAGTATACCAAACTTTTGTCTTAAAGCATATCTTTCCTTAATCTTGAATGGACACACAGCACAGGGATGTTAACATCTGTTAGCATCTTAAAGTCCATTGTGTGTAGTTCCCACTGCCGCTGTGGGAGGGAAGCCCCTCCCTTCCTCTACAGACTTCCGGCTCCGGTCTCTTTAACTTTCCACTCAATATTTCTACTGTGGTCAACTTTTACTTATCACTAGTATTCTGATTGTAATTTCAACCAGTTTTTGTTTGTTTGTTTGGTTGGTTGGTTGGTTTTTCTTGACAAAGTTTCTCGTTGAAGCATATGTGTCCTGGAACTCACTCTATAGACTACACTGGCCTTGAACTCAGAGATCTACCTGTTTCTGCCTCCCAAGTGCTGGGAGCAAGGTGTGCACCACCATGGCCTAGCTTTAACCACATCTGTAATTCTGCCAAGTTGGAAGCCATTCTTAGCCTTTAGGCCATCACTTACTCACTCTCACAGCCACCTCCCAAACTGAGGCTCTCCATCTTTCCTAATGTCCAACTGTATCACTACATAGTTTTCAAGACTTTTCTCTTTTCTGTACTCACGGCAAACTCTTCAGAACCATTTCTTACTTGAATAATTAATTCTTTCTTCATCCATGTTGACTTTAGGCTTTACTGTCATCTGCTGATTAATCTCTGTATCTTTATATTTAACTTCTTTTATGCTTAATCAGTTCTTGATATTCAACTGTTTATCCTGATTACTATCATTTTTATAAACATTGTTTTTATCTTGAAGAATCTTAAACATGCTTATTTTTTAAGTAGCTAATAGGGCCCATCAATATCAGTCTATCAGCATATATGTTACTTGGGAAGGACTCCATGTTTTGATGGTTAAGACTGTTGGATGCTTTTCTAGGTTTCCATGTGATCCCACTCAGCTTCCTGCCAGGGTCATACTTAACATACCAACACTTACCTCCTAAAATGAGGACATCTGCCTACTCAGCCCCACTAACATCACTGCTTATCTACACAGTCCCTATTAAAATTTTTATACTCATCCCAAGAGTGCAGTCTTGCCTTCTCTCTTATCCTCCTGACCTTTCTTTGAGGCAGGCATTCTACAATTTTACTTGGCAAATCTGGAACAAGATCCTTTTTTCCATATAAGTACCTCAGGTTCATGTAGAATCAATCACCTTTGTTGAAGTCTATTAATCAAAACCAAGTCAAGGACTATCTAACTCAAAGCAAAGGCTTTGATAAGCACAAGAGGTATGCTTCATTGACTGCAGACAGGGTCTCGGGGGTAGGCATCTCTGAACATTAGCAAACATAGGATCAAAGTGTCTAGAAAAGTATGTAGAATGTAAATCACAGTTATACTGATGAAGAGAAGCTTTTCCTCTGAACACAGTTTAGTTTGTTTGTTGTTGTTTTTTTAAATTTGGGGGCTTTTTTAAAGACAAAGTCTTGCTATGTAGCCTTGTCTAGCCTTGAATTCACAGAGATCTGCCTATGTTTGCCTCCCAAGAACTAGAATTAAAATCATATGTCGCGGGCTGGAGAGATGGCTCAGTGGTTAAGAGCACCGACTGCTCTTTCAGAGGTCCTGAGTTCAATTCCCAGCAACCACATGGTGGCTCACATCCATCTGTAATGGGATCCGGTGTGTCTGAAGACAGCTATCTATGGTGTACTCAAATACATAAAATAAATAAATCTTTAAAAAATAAAATCATATGTCGCTATGCCTGGGTCAATATTTTTAAAATTTTAAGTGTAAAATTGTTACTTGTATATTTAAAATTGACAAAGTATTTAATCAGAAAAACCTTTAAGATGTTCTAATGAAATGCAAAAAAAAAATAATAAAATAAAATGTACATTTGGTCATGCACACATCAATATATGTTCTATATGTTCTATAATAATTACATTGATAGGTAGTCTGTAGTGTATATTTTATATCATAAATTTTTAAAGATATAAAGATACAAAAAAATCAACTAGATAGAAAACAGTAGTTTTGTAAATGAATGAATACCTGAAATTTATAGAATGCATTTATACACACACCAGATTTACACATATCTCCCTACATAATCTAATATTCATTCTCTGATATGGTACAGTACTTTTATTTCTGAGGATCTTATTCTGGTCCATCCTGTCCAGCCTATTGTGTAGCCCAGGCTGGCCTTTAACTTGAAGTCTTGTTAGCCTCCCAGGTGTTCAGATTAAAGACCTGAGCCATCAACCTCTCATTCAAGCTTGTTTGTCTGTTTTGAGACTTTCTCTGTGTAGCTCTGAATGTACCCAAACTCAGAGATCCACCACTTCTGCTGGGATTCAAGATGTGTATCTCCATGCCCAGCTTCAACATACATTTTAAAAAATATCTACTTATTTTATGTGTATGAGTGTTTTGTCTGCATGTACATCTGTATGCCATTTGCATGCTTGGTTCCCACACAGGCAGCAAGTGCTCTGAGCAAGAGCTGTCTCTACAGCCCCAGAACATATTTTTTTTAAAGGAAGACTTTCTTAAAATACTAAGGAACAAATGTATATTTCATAAAAAGTGATTCATATATAATTACAACAATGCTTTACCTAGTAAATGTTCAAAGATACGTTTCATGGAGCACTGCTGTCTCTTGTGTGAGGCTGGAGAGATGGCTAGCATTTAAGAGCACTTGCTGACTTCAGCTCCTTGTACCTATAATGAGGAGTCTCATAAACACCTGTATTGCCAGCTCCAGAAGCTCTGAAACCCTCTCCTGGTCTCCTCAAGCACCCACACATGTGGCAAATACTCACTCAGACATACATAAAAATGAAGCTTAAAAAAGATACTCTGTAGTGAGATAAATCATAGATACTACAATCATCTCTTGAAGGATTATACATTGGTTTGTTCAAGTTTCTGAGAAGTCCTGGAGTAAGCAAGCTGTTTACCTCTCTACCTCTCTCTTTTTTTGAGTCCAAAGCTGGTTAGGGCACATTTAGGCATTGTCCTATATAGTCTATGAGCCTATTCAGCTCAGAAGTTTTTTTATTTTTCTGTTCTGAAACAATGTCTTTTAATACGGGCTGTCCTTGAACCAGCACATATTAATTCTCCTGCACTCTGGCTCCACTGATTCTGGCTTTTAAGACAAGGTTTCACTCTGAAGCCCAAGTTGGTCTTGAACTTGTGGCTGTCCTCTCCTTCGCTGCTACTGAGGTGCATACTACAGGGTGAGCTGCTATGTGTGCTTGGTCTTGAGCTATTGTTTCTCCTGTCTCAACTTCCCAAGCACCAAGACTACAGGTGTGTACCACCACATCCTGGCTGGAAAAACTTTGCAGTAAAATGAGAGACTAAATTTTACATATTTTGTTTTCTTCTCCATGATTTAAAAATCCATCAAACCAATTAATATGTGTATTAACCAGGGTTGTATGTATCTGGAGAGAGAGTTGGGAAGAGGAATCCCTACAGAGCAAGAATGAAGCAGCTAAGAAATATGCTTCAAATCACATCTGCTTATATCCAATGGATGTCAAATGAGGACTGATTAGAAAAAAATATTTTAAATGTAGAGAGGCAATTTAATTCTGCAATACAAAGAGGGGCTAGAGAGATACCTCAGAAGCTAAGAGCACTAGCTGTTTTTCCAAAGGACCTAGTTAGATTCCTAGCACCAACATGGTGAACTGCAACAATCTATGACTCCAGTTCTTGGGGATCAGATGCCCTTTTCTGGCCTCCTTGGACACTATACATACATACATACATACATACATACATACAGCAAAACACTCATACACATAAATAATAATAATGAAGAAATTAAAATAATAAATACAAAGAAGTAGACGATGGATAGTAACTTTAGAAAATAGAGCTGGGAAAGTTGTAAACAAGAAGTCCAGAAAAAGAAAACAGAAGCATCAGAGATCTCATAGTTCCTTGAGTGTTGTGCCTGTAAAGTACTGGCCTGAGCAATGTGTCTTCAAAAAATCATTTGAAAAGTTAAATGCCTTGAACTTGTAACTATAGGGAATAATCATCTGA